GAGCGGTAATCTTCGTTTTCATCAGAGAGTTCATACAGGAGAAAAGCCATATCAATGCAGTGAATGTGGAAAATCATTTACCACTAAAACCACCCGTGATCGACATCAGAGAGTTCATACAGGAGAAAAGCCTTATAAATGCAGTGAATGTGGAAAACCTTTTAAGCGTAGAAATAGTCTCCTATATCATCAGAGAGTTCACACTGGAGAAAAGCCTTATCAATGCAGTGAGTGTGGGAAATCTTTTACCACTAAAACCACCCATGATCGACATCAGGTAGTTCATGCAGGAGAAAAGCCTCATCAGTGTAGTGAATGTGGGAAATGTTTTACCCAGAGCACTACCCTTCGTATTCATCAGAGAGTTCATACGGGAGAAAAGCCTTATAAATGTTTTGTGTGTGGGAAATCTTTTTCCCGGAGCACTTACCTTCGTTACCATCAGGTACTTCATACAGGAGAAAAGCCTTATAAATGCAGTGAATGTGGAAAATCTTTTACCCAGAGCGGTACTCTTCGTTTTCATCAGAGAGTTCATACAGGAGAAAAGCCATATCAATGTAGTGAATGTGATAAATCTTTTACCACTAAAACCATCCGTGATCGACATCAGAGAGTTCATACAAGAGAAAAGCCTTATAAATGCAGTGAATGTGGAAAACCTTTTAAGCGTAGAAAAAGTCTCCTATATCATCAGAGAGTTCACACTGGAGAAAAGCCTTATCAATGCAGTGAGTGTGGGAAATCTTTTACCACTAAGTCTGGCCTTCATCGTCATCAGAGTGTTCATACTGGAGAAAAGCCTTATCAATGCAGTGAATGTGGAAAATCTTTTACCCAGAGCAGTAATCTTCGTTTTCATCAGCGAATTCATACAGGAGAAAAGCCATATCAATGCAGTGAATGTGGAAAATCTTTTACCCAGAGCGTTAATCTTCGTTCTCATCAGAGAGGCCATACAGGAGAAAAGCCATATCAATGCGGTGAATGTGGGAAATCTTTTACCCGGAGCATTGCCCTTCGTTACCATCAGACAGTTCGTACAGGAGAAAAGCCTTATAAATGCAGTGACTGTGGAAAATCTTTGAAACGTAGAAAATGTCTCCTATATCATCAGAGAGTTCACACTGGAGAAAAGCCTTACCAATGCAGTGAATGTGGGAAATCTTTTACCAAGAGCACTCATCTTCGTTGTCATCAGAGAGTTCATACAGGAGAAAAGGCATATCAATGCAGTGAATGTGGAAAATCTTTTACCAAGAGCTCTTTACTTCATCGACATCAGAGAGTTCATACGGGAGAAAAGCCTTATAAATGCACTGTATGTGGGAATTCTTTTAAAAGCAGCAGTGGTCTTCAGTATCATCAGAGAGTTCACACTGGAGAAAGCTATAAAGAGTGCAATTAATGTGAGGTATCTCTCAGCCAAATTTCTAAATTCCCTCTCCGCATAAGAGTACAAATGGGAGAAATTTCTTAAATGTGTAGGAAATGTAGTTTCTTAGGACTTAACAATAGTACAAGAAAATTTGTGAGTCCTCATTTTTCTGAATTGTATCATACATTTAATCACCTACAGTATGTAAAGTTCCCATAAGTGTTTTTCTGTTGTGTTTCTGTGTTTTTATGTTGGAACACTATGTAATTATGTTGCACGCTCTAATATATAGGATGTAATGCCAGATCTGTGTCACTGCATATTTCTGTTGCTGAAGGTAATTCACCTGAACCATCTATAAGGTCCCTACAGATGGCATCAGTCACCATCCTCCCGTGCCCAGGGATGCCAAGTCAGACTCTAATTTGTTGACGGAAATGAGGAATACCTGAGTCCTTAGTTCTTTCTTCTTTCCCTGTCTTGTGTTGCCAATTAGGACTCATTACAGTTGGCCGCAGTAAACATAATGTTGCAGAGGGCCTGCCATTTTCAGGAACACACTTTCCCTAGATGCTAATGATGAGTTTATTGCGTGCCTAATTCATCAACGGAAGAACTGCCAGTCTCATGTCTCTATGGATTGTAAAATAATGAAGGCTTTTTCTTAAGAATTCTTTAATCTGGGGTGTTCTATTTACTCGATAGGTTAGTTTATAAGGAGATCTGGGCTTTCCAAGCATGAAGAGGTGAGAAACTTTTAGGGGGTCTCAAACATTTTTGCCCACGGGGCAACAGTATGGTTCAGAAATTAGTTCTGCAGTTTTTGGCAAATTTACACTACTGCCCATATTTTTCTAGGAAACACTGTGGACACTCTACTTCTCATGTGAATATGGATGCTTTGACACATAGAGATCACTCCAAAGAGAGTGTAGCTGTGACAACCTCAAGTGTGTCTGGAAACATGAATTTTTTTCTTGTTTGCAAGTGATGCCAATACGTATGAAGTGAATCTCTTACCCAGGTCTTGCAAAGGGACATAAGCCCTAATGCCTACAATATCACGGGTGATGGTCACTGGTTTGAGGACCATCGCATTCAGGGGGAACCCTTTCACTACAGAAACACTGACCTGGTTGTGGTTGGATGAGACTGCACTCCTTTAGATGGAATGGTCCTCACCTAACTATGCATCCGGCATTATTTTTAGGAAAAGACTACAATTGCTGTGTGTACACAGATCTGAGGGACTCCAGGCTTGTTTATCTTCTGTGAAGCAGTCATTGTCATTGATTACAATCAAGATGTTTTGTTGCTCCTGTAGCTTCTCAGAAGTTCCCATCAGAGCCATTGGTGCACTGGCATCAAAAGAAAGATGAGAGACAACGGCTGTCTTTAGTTCAAGAATGTGGCTTTTGTGGGTTTGGGTGAAAGTTCTTCATTGTTTATTATATTTTCTGTCACTAAGTTGAGACTCTCACCCAGAGGGCATGAGAATATGGATTGAATATAGAGTTGCCAAACCTGTTCTTCCAAAATAGCTGAACGTACATTTGTTTTATCTTGAACCATTTTTAACAGCTATGAGTAAATTACATGTGTTTCAGAAATCGTGACATGTGTGTGAAACTGAAACCATCATCTTATGTAATTAAAGAGAAACATGCAAATTGGCTGTGCCTTTGCTACACTCACAGGCCACGTCCACCAGCCAATCAGAGCAATATATGCAAATTAACCCAACCAAGATGGCGGCTGGTAGCCATGGAGCTGGAGCAAGCAGGAGGCTTGGTTGCCCCTGTGTTGGAGGAAGCCAAGCTTCCCGCCTGCCCTGGCCGGCTGTCAGCTCCGCTCAAGGCAACAAAGTTTCAATTATAGAAGATAAATAAACCTCATATAGCTGCTTCCAGCCAGCCTGCACTGGGAGCTTGAATGGCTCGGGGGGCTTGGCCAGCCTGCAAACAGCCATCAGCCCCTCACCAAGGCTGGCCAGGGACACCCTTCAGGGCAAACCAGTCAGCCCCCACATACACCAGGCGTCTAGCTTATATAATAAAAGGGTAATATGCAAATTGACCCTAACAGCAGAACGACTGGGAATGATGTCACTATGACACACACTGACCACCAGGGGGCAGATGCGCAATGCTGGAGCTGCCCCCTGGTGATCATTGCACTCCCACAGTGGGAGCTCTCCTCAGCCACAAGCCAGGCTGACGGCTGCCAGTACAGCAGTGGTGGTGGGAGCCTCTCCCGCCTCCTCAGCAGCGCTAAGGATTTCCAACTGCAGCTTAGGCCTGCTCCCCGCTGGTAAGTTGACTTCCCTTGAGGGCTCCCTGGCTGCCAGAGTAATGTCTGATTGCCCGCTTAGGCCCAGTCCCCCCAGGGAGCATGCCTAAGCCAGCAGGTGGACAATACCTCAGGGGTCCCAGACTGCAAGAGGGTACCGGCCAGGCTGAGAGACCCCCCCCCCCCCGAGTGCACAAATTTTTGTGCACCGGGCCTCTAGTTATATTCATATTGCTGACCATATGTTTCACTGTGTAATTGCTTCATGACCTATTTTAACCTGTCCCATTTCTTCACAGATTTTATAGTTTTCAAGGATTTAGAGAACTTTATTTTTCTAAGTATTTTTCTGCTTTAATTATGTTTCATAAATACTTGGAGATTCATTAAAGTTATGTTAGTAACTCATCTTTTTTTCTGATATTCTTTTTTAAAAATATATTTTTTATTGATTTTACAAAGAGGAAGGGAGAGGAGTAGAGAGTTAGAAACATTGATCAGTTGCCTCCTGCACACCCCCTACTGGGGATTTGCCAGCAACCAAGGTTTATGCCCTTGACTGGAAATGAACTTGGGACCCTTCATTCAGCAGACCGGCTCTGTATCCACTGAGCCAAACCAGTTAGGGCTGTGATAGATATTCTTATCATTGATATATCACCATCAATTTGTCCATTTTAATAAATACTTGGTTATTTCTAACAAAGATGTTACAAACATTTCTGTATAATTCCTCGTATGTGTATAAGTGTTAATTACCTTTGTCAAAACTTCAGTGAATAATCTGGGTTTTTGAGTAGATGAATGTTTAAATTTACCGAGATTAGCAAATTGTGATCTAAATGGAATATACCACCAGGGCCAGTGTGGGTCAGTACTTGTCCGTCCTCTCATGCAGCACAAGGTTGTGGATTTGATTGTCAGTGGGATATGTGCCTGTGCTGTGGCTATATCCACAGAAGTGGGTGTGCAGGAGGTGGCTGGCCAATATGGCACTCTTCCATCAATGTTTCTCTCCCTCTTCCTTCTCTCTCTAAAAGTTATTAAACTATTCTTTAAAAATAGAAAATAAGCCAAAACCGGTTTGGCTGAGTGGATAGAGCGTCGGCCTGCAGACTGAAAGGTCCCGGGTTCGATTCCGGTCAAGGGCATGGACTTGGGTTGCGGGCACATCCCCCAGTGGGAGATGTGCAGGAGGCAGCTGATCGATGTTTCTCTCTCATCGATGTTTCTAATTCTCTATCTCCCTCTCTGTAAAAAATCAATAAAATATATTTTTTAAAAAATAGAAAATAAAATTTAACTGATTGTAGTTTTTTACATTTTTTAGCAATGTATTAGGGATTCACATTCTCCACATGCTAGAGAAGGGGTGGGCAACCTTTGGCACACATGGCAAACATGACACGCCAGTAACTTTTGCTGACACGTGAAACCCTCTCTTATAATCTTCCATTTACAATTTTTATGAACAGTTGAATGACTTAAATGTTAAATTACATGGAACTGGCAAGACACTTGATGTTATGTTTGCTAACATAAAGGCTTTTGAAATGAAACTGGAAGTCCTTGAGAGGGATGTGGATGGTGAGAGATTTATGTTTCCCAAACCTCAAGAGGCACATCAAAGACCTCCCAAAAGATGACAGAACAGACTGTCAAAGCCTTCAAAAGCTGTTTTTAAACATCATGGAGTCAACTATTGAGCAGTTCTTGTCAAGATTTACGAAATTCAGAGAACTGGAAGAGAGCAAAATTCATGAGTTTTCCAGACAGCATAAAACTGGAGGAACTAAACTTAGAAATGTTTTCATGGATAGAAATGGCTGAGTTTGAAATGCAGTTGATTGAATTTCAGAGTAGCTCAGTTTGGAAACAGAAATTCATTGACCTTAGAGTTGACTTGGAAAACATTGAAAAAAAGCGATTAGAGTCAGGAGTATCAGAGAGAAGTGTTGAAAACAAACTATTGAGGACTTGGAATGCCATTCCAGAAAAATTTTTGTGTTTAAAAAACTTTGCAATAGTGTTACTCTCCATGTTTTCATCCACATATACTTGTGAATCTTTGTTCTCAGTGATGAATTTTGTTAAGTCTCATAATAGGAGTAGCCTGACAGATGAAAGTAGTACCTCGTGCATATCTCTGAAGGTCACGAAATATAAACCTGATGTAAAATCTCTGTCATCAGTGATACAGCAGCAAAGCCCCACTGATAATATCAAATGGAATCATTAAGTTTTCTGTCAGACTATCAGTGTACATGTATACATTAAAAAATAAATTTACTTCTCATCATATACTGTGTTTTTGTCGCTCAAATGAATGTATTTCTTCAAGGTTCTTCACATACGTACACCTTAAGAGATATCAAGTAGGTGTAACAAGTTCTCAAAACATTAGGGTTGGAACGTAGAAGAATTTTGAGTCAGAGATTTTGGTGCTTTTAGCACACACTCACCAAAAGTTTGCTCACCGCTGTCCTAGAGAATAATTTGTTCAATCAATCATAATTTATTTAAACATTTTTTTGATAAGTTTATTGTGCAGCCTCACTGTTTGATTGTATTTTTTCTAGGAATTTATGGTGAGCCTTTTCTCAGAAAGGTATTTGCTGAGTCTGTATCTTTGTTAAAACGTCATATGTTCTACCTAATATGCTATGAGTTTTGGCAATTTTCTTTAACAATAGGACTGTGGAACAACAAAGATGGATGTTGGAATTTCACTCATTTTGTGCCTTTTTTACTTTAGGAAATAAACATTTTTTTGTATTGAAATAATATGTTTTAATATTTTTTTCATTAAAAAAATATTTTAATTGCCCTAGCTGGTTTGGCTCAGTGAATAGAGCATCAGCCTTCAGACTGAAAGGTCCTGGGTGAGCTTCCAGTCAAGGCAAGGTGCCCAGGTTGCGGGCTCAATCACCAGTGTGGGGACTACAGGAGGCAGCCAATCATTCTCTCTCATCATTGATGTTTCTCTCTCTCTACCTCTGCCTTCCTCTCTGAAATCAATAAAAATATATTTAAAACATTTTAATTTATTTTACTAAATTAATAAATATACTTAATTAATTTTAAAATATTTTCATTGATTTCATAGAGCAAGGGAGGTAGAGAGAGAGAGAGAGAGACATTAATGATGAGAGCCCAGCAAGGGTTTTCAGTCGACCCATGAACCAGGAGGTCACAGTTCCATTGCCACTTAGGGCTCATCGGTGGGCACATACTGTGAAAAACAAGTATGAGGTATGTCCATGCCAGCGTTATTGAAGAAGGTCCAGTGGTAAGGTGTCTACTTGTGTAAGGCAGCGGTGCCTGCAGCCTGCCTTGGCCTCAGCAACTCCAGCCACTCCCTGCAGAGACATTCCCAGGCAGGCACTTCTCACTCCCCAGATGCCCGCAAGCATCTTTGTCTTTGGGTGCATTTTAGTGAGAAATGGGACCTATATGAAGCCACCAACTGTGCTGCATGGAGGCAGGTGCTGTGCCACTCGGTCTCATTGTGGTGCGTCCCATATCTAATTGCTGAAAAAGTTCAGTGTCTTTTTCAGAAATGAAGTCAGCTCCCCAAGTTTACACCACAGACAAGTGTCAGATTCAAGGGGCTGGATATTAACCATTGTTTTCTCCAGCGTCAGACAAAGTCTCTACCACTGATGTGCAGCCCTCACTGGAGCAGGTACAGTCTGAGGACAAGGGTGGCTCAGCTGCAGCTCCTGTTTCCATGGTTGCAGTTAGCTTTTCCTCCCAATGCCTTTACATCTCAGACCACTTACCCCCTCCTCCCCCCCTCCTCCGTGTTCAGGGGGAGGCTATCACTTCTCTGCTGCAGTGGTTTCTCCAGGGGAACCTTTTTTAAGAGTGAGCTGCAATTTATCTGCCTTCCCTTTGATCTCAGCACAGACTATGACCCTCAGGAGACCTCGGTTATTAGCGCTTTGTCTCTGCACCTTTGCCCACATGTTGGTTGTCATGCTGTGACCCCATTCACTGTGATGAATTTCTTGCCTTTTCAAATGATCTTCATATGCAACACTGACACCCTTGAGGAGAGGATACACTTTGACGTGAATTTTGGGACATAATATTGGAAGAGATGCTGGAGGCCTACATGATCCAGGTCTCATTGGACGGGTGCTTACCTCTTATTCATGCATAGGACCCACTGCCATGTGATTCTGTCCTCTATATCCCTACTGGCAGAATGAGACAATGGCTCTCACCATGTGTTCCCTGCAGCCCGGATCATGTTTTGGATTCCTGTCCTCCTTCCCAGTCTCCTGTGTCTGCACCATGAGTCTTTTGGTTGGAACAGAGACCTTTTGAATACAAGCCCTCACCACAGTGCACAGCACACTGGGCCACAACTGAGGTTCATACTGTGCTTTTCCTGACAATCCATCCTAACTCACTCTCCACACACAATTTTTTATTGTAGGGGAAGGTGGCTTTTAAGATGATGGTGTTTGCTGTTTTGGCCAGTTACTCTGTTTTTTTTTTTCATCGTTTCCATGTATACCAATATGTCAAACTCAAAGGCTAATATGGGCCATATAAACAAGGTTTAAGTTTATGTGGGCCGCAAAAAAATAAAAGCTTCAATTTTCATAGAAATGTAGGTTTATTTTGATAGAGACATGCTGAATACGAAGTCCTGAAATAAATGAGTCATCGTTAATGAATATTCCTTGTGGGCTTCCTGCAGCCCAGGGACCGCAAGTGTGACATGCTTGATGTATACAGTAGGTATACATGCTAATAACTTTTTTATTGTTTTGCCCTGTTAATCTGTGTTATATCCATTTAATTCTTAGACTAACCAAAGAAGCTAGAAAAGAAGGGAAAATTATGATGCCTCTACAATGTCATTTCCTTCATCTTCTTTCACAATAATTCCCTTAACTCCACAAAATAAAGGAATACTGTTAAGTTTTGGGTGGTGATACAGCCTGTGAAAGAATTCACAACTAAAAGAAGTAATGCAAAGAGGAAATTTATTTTACTTTCCAAGAGAGTAAAAGGCCAAGTATTGCTAGTCTATTCAGGTCAGGGAAGAAATGGTGGCTTCTGCTTTTCAGTAGTGCCTGGTACTATGGGACAACCAATGGAGGGGCCTTGGGCTGAGCTGAAGTTGTGTAGATAAGAGGAGCTGTCCTTAAAAGTTACAGTTTGCTTGTTTTCCAGGAGACAGTCTGGCAGATGTTCTACAGAGGTGTCTTATCAGTTTCTTCCCCAGCCTATAAAATATGACTAGAGAAAAAGTTGTGAAGAGTTCAAATGAGGCTTGTTTGAAAGGGTGGAGGGGAGTAAACTTTCTACTAACTAGAGACTCCTTGGTGTGAGTTATCCCTGTGGTGTAACAACAGCAGGAAGGAGGGGTATGTAAGAATTTAGCCTTAAAAGTAGCTTATCTTGTTCTGCAGTTTGAACAGAGGAGCTCTTTGAATTAGAGGAGCCAGTAATTTGGGGTTTAATTAGCAGGTGCTTCTCATAAATTGTGGAAGGTCACAGAAAAGAAACAGAAAGACCTTCTTCTTGTCCTTACAAATACTTTGACCACTTTTAGAACCTAAGGCTTTATTGGCCTGAAGAGTGAATACTTCTAGGAGACCTAATAAAGGGAAACCAGCAGTACTGGGGGCATTGTGTTCAGGAGGATGTCAGCAATGGATCCCGAAGGAAATAAACCACTCAGTGAAATTTCTCCTGACCTCATAGGTTTTAACACCACAGTATGGACAAAAATGATGGTGTATACTAAACATGGCAAGCTCAGGTATCCTGGCATCACATGGTGAATCTTACAAACTCCAAAGCCAAAAGTAACGACCTATGATGGTTTGAAGTTAAAACTTTTCTAAGTAAAAGGGAGTCAAGGGGTAGTTTTGTCCTAGCCTCCTTCGTTTTGTTTTGTTTCTTTGCAAAGGTCAATCTTTACGTTATTAATCCTGTCTATGGCATTTTTTGCATCTAGGATAACATACCTTTGGGTTTTCAGTGAAATTTCCTTTTTTGCAAAGTCCTAAGGGCACAATCTCCAAACACAGAAGACCTCAGAGCTAAAATTATTATTGTTGTTGTGTTAAATATTAACTCTTGGAGAGTTAATCTATTGGAGAACATTTTAAAAAGAAGTTTGTGTCTATTTTTTTTTTTTACTTTTTATCCAATCCCAGAGATTTCCCTCTTCAGTTCCCCCCCACACTCTAATTTTTTACCAGTGAATTTCATGTAACCCCCATATGTCTTCTCCTTTGAGTCTCAGTATGAAACCGGTGCAAAACTGCCGTTCCCCTTTGCATGACTCAATGTGTTGTTGTTTTACTTCATGGCAAATGTTGGTGACTTGGGTCAAATAAACTTAGAAAAATTTCCCACAGGTTTGAACATTTCTTACAACAACATCAAAAGCAATTGACTCATGTGAAGCAGGAGAAGGTTACATGGAGGGGTATCAGCATTTCCCAAGACAGAGATGAATGAAGACACATTTATAAATGCAAATTTAAAGGCAACCCAGAACACAGCAAGCTAGCTTTCTCCTTGCTTCCATGGAACAGAAGAAAATGCTCAAGGCTCAGGTGGCTTTGTTTGGTGTGTGTGTGTGTGTGTGTGTGTGTGTGTGTGTTTCTTTAATCCTCACCCAGGAATGTTTACTCTCTCTCTCTGTCTCTTTTATTTTATATAACCCTCCCTTGCCTTCCATCTGAGACTTTGCACTCTGTACCAAGCTTCCATGTCTCTGGATCCACTCCATTCTTCAGTTAATTTTGTTATTTAGGTTCCATCTATGTGTGAGATCAAGTGATGCTTTTCTTTCTCTGACTCACTTATTTCAGTTAGCACGTGGCTCTCCAGGTCCTGCATGCTGTCTGAAAGGGTAAGAGATTCTTACTTCTTACCACTGCATAGTATTCCGATTGTTGTTTCAGGTTTATTAGGATATATTCTTAGAACTGGGTCAAATGAGTTCCATATTTAATTTTTTAATGAAACTCCCTATGCTTTCCATAATGTGTGCACCAGTCTGCATTCCTATCAGCAGTGTACTAGGGTTCCCTTTTTTCCATATCCTCACCAGCACTTGTCCTTTGTTGATGGTAGTCTTTCTGACAGTTGTGAGGTAGGATCTAATTGTTGCTTTAATTTGCATCTCTCTGAGAATCAGTGACTTTGAGCATTTTTTCAAATGTCTCTTGGCCAACTTATCCACACTGCAGTCCTGGCAGAGCTGACACTTTGGCCCCAGAAGCAGATGCTCTTAAATAGTGATGTCTGTTTTGAGACATTAACTTCGTACAATGGAGGGAGGATAGGTGCTTTAGACACTTAAGCAACCTCTGCAAGCTACATTAAGCCTGGAGGGGACAGAAGCCTAATGACCTGAAAGAACACACATTGCCTGTCATTCAGAAAAGAGCAGATTCTGAAGAAAGATATGCAAAACCAGCAGCTAAAGGAAGCCAGGCAGGTCCCACAGAAACAAACCTGTTCTAGAAATCCCCTTCCCTGAATGCGCTGGAGGGCCCTGAGTATACCCAGTGTGTTCTTGGGCTATTTGCCCTCAAAACCAGTCCTGTAGTCTGCTGAGGAAATACAGGATCCTGGCCAGGGAGCGTAGGAACTACATTACCCAGAAGGACAGGCGTCGAATGGCACCCAGCTTAGCCAATGGAAGCTCAGAAAAGGCGTTTCCGTTTTTTCAAGTTCTGGTGTACTGGACCGGTAGTTTTTTCTCCATTTTGTCTTAAGCGGTCGGCGGTACTTGAATGCAGAGTCCCCTGGAAAAGGCTGGAGAGTGGTCGTCGCCGCCTCACAGCCCATGGTGGGAGCCTCCAGTGGTGCTCACAGTGCACACGTGGGATTGAAGCTCGGAGTCGCCACCAGACCCGCCCAGGGCCGGGACAGGGACCGCCATTCCTGCAGCGGCTTCTGCTCCCGCCCCGCTCCTCCCACCGAGTGCAATGGAGGCGCCGGTGCTGAGGAGCTGGGCTGAGGTGAGTGTGTCCCCCGGGTCCTCCCCTCATCGCTACTTATACCGACAGGACAGCCCGGGTGCAGGCGCCTGTCCCGTCCTGCAGCTCAGTCCCGCGTGGAGGACCGTGAGGAAGGTGGAGGGGAGAGAGGAGTGTTGTGGCTTCTGAGGACACAGCAAGTGCAGAGCAGAGAGGACGGGGGTGACTTGCATCTGAAGGTCCCTGAGGATGTGGCTGTGAATATTGACGGAAAGAGCAGAGGCTGCAGGGAGGACGGCACAGACTAATTCGGGGCTTTCCCGGCTGTGGGTCCATCAGGGGCCTGGGGTGGTCCTGGATCCGGCTGGACTACAAGCTCTCTACACGCCATATGCCAAGTTCATGGGTGAGTCCAGCGAGATCCAGTGTCATTGGAGCAGGAAGGGGGCAGAGCTGAGGGAGTGAACCTGGGATCTGAACATGGGAAGGGGGTAAACCTTACCCAGTGGTGAGCACATCTGGAGGAAGTGTGAGCTGATGGTCCCGGGACCTCGTGTGGGGATTTAAAGGTGAAGCATAAACCCACGCTTGGCTTTGTCTTGGCGGCAGGATCTAGGAGACTGCAGTGGTGTTGCTTGGCAAGAAGGCTGGGGACCTGCAGGCATTGCCCAGACCTTAAATGGCATTGCCCTCTCCCCTCCACTCCCCCAATCCTTCCCACCCAACCCACCTGCTCTGCTGAGGGCCATCACAGTGAGTAATGAGACTGTGATGAGAGAGCAGCCTGCACTGGCATTAGGGCCTCTTGTCCACAGTAACCGGGTGCCCTGGAGGAGGTTGAGGGGAGGAAGGTGTGTAAGGAGTAGGATTACTGGTTCTCAGAGAGACAGCCCTGGTTTTAATTGTCTCCATTCTAACAGGTTGGCGTGACCTTTGAGGACATTGCCCTGTACTTCTCCAGGGAGGAATGGAGCCTCCTTGATGAGGGTCAGAGACAGCTGTACCTGAATGTGATGCTGGAGAACTTTGAACTTATGTCCTCGCTGGGTAAGACCCTCACTGTTACCGGTGACCTGGAATTGGCTTTTCCATTTTCTAGGGCCCATCCCCCAGGGTGTGCTCTGTCCTCCCATGTAGACTGTGGTACTGCTTGTTTTTCCAGTTATCTGGGTAGTTGCTGTCCTGGGGAGGGTTGGTCTGTTTCTGCTGCTCCCTTCTGTTCCTGAAGTCCCAATACTCCCCGCTGCACTAAATTCACAGGGAAGGACTTGTGGTTGGTAGTGTTGTTGGCAGCTACGGAATTCCACCTTGATTAGTGATGGAAACATTTTCTGTATTCCTATTGGTCATGTGTAAATATATTGTGAAAAGTTGTATTACATCCTTATCCAGTTTGTTAACTATATTTTTTTTCGTTAAAGAATATTTGGAATATCTTGTATATTTTATATATTAATTGCTTATCACATCCAGGAACACATATTTTTGTATGTGCTTAATTGTGCTTTGCATATATTGCTCCCCCACACCTGTTTTTCCAGAAAGTCCATGATTTTTGTTTGTTTGTTTTTTATTTTAATATATTTTATTGATTTTTTTACAGAGAGGAAGGGAGAGGGATAGAGAGTTAGAAACATCGATGAGAGAGAAACATCGATCAGGTGCCTCCTGCACCCTCCCTACTGGGGATGTGCCTGCAACCAAGGTACATGCCCTTGACGGGAATCCAACCTGGGACCCTTGAGTCCGTAGGCTGAGGCTCTATCCACTGAGCCGAACTGGTTAGGGTGAGAAATTCCATGTTCTTCGCAACCCTGCGTTCAGCAGGTCTACTGCCACTATGTTTCTAGCAAGCTTAGATGCTTGTTACTAGTGCTTAGCAATTAAATATTGTTTTTCCGTTTTAGATCTTTCTGCTTCTTTGTATGAATAATTTGATAATTGAAACCTAGAAATTTTTAGCATTATAGAACGCTGGATCTTTTCAAGCCTGTTTTATCTGGCTTCTTTTGTTACTGCTCTGGTAAGGGAAGGGTGAGATGCCACCTCATTATTTGAAGAAGAGAATAGAAGTCCATGTTCCCCACTTGGCCCAAGGTTTGTAGGTGTGTGTGCGTGTTTGTGTGTGGTGGGATGGGGTGGTGTGGGGGGGAGGGGTATTATTTTCATGAGATGGTGGGAGTTCTGGCTCCCTGTTATTCTTCTGTCAATATCTCCCTAGGTGGAGGGATAGGTCTTCCTTGTTTCTATATCTTACGGTTTCCACTTACATGACCCAGGACTGACTCCCACCACCACTGATTCCTGCCGGGGCGCTGCCAACCACAGCCGCAGCAGTCAGTCCTGGGTCACCATTGTGACTGCAGGATTGACTTCGGGTGTTCGGTTGTCAGTTCGGTCATTTAGGCCACCAGGGCCCCTAGATGTTTATATAATTAGATTCCTTTTACATAGAGAGGAGGAGAAATGGAGTAAGAGAGAGAGGGGTGGGGGAGAAACATCAGTCGGCTGGCTGCCTTCTGCACACATGCAAACCGGATATGGAAGCCACATTCTGATATGTGCCCTTACCGAGAATCGAACCCTCTACCCTTTGACACATAGGAGGATATTCCAAGCAACTGAGCCACACTGGCCAGGGCATTCTGTGGGTTTTTTTTGTTGTTGTTTTTTTTTAATATACTTTATTGATTTTTTACAGAGAGTAAGGGAGAGGGATAGAGAGTTAGAAACATCGATGAAAGAGGAACATCGATCAGCTGCCTCCTGCACATCTCCCACTGGGGATGTGCCCGCAACCCAGGTACATGCCCTTGACTGGAATCGAACCCGGGACCTTTCAGTCCCCAGGCTGATGCTCTATCCACTGAGCCAAACCGGTTTCGGCCATTCTGTGGTTTTTAAAAATAAAAATTTCCAGTTTTTTAGAGAACAGACTAATAGGATCAATGAGAATAGAAGCACAGTGGCTGATAGTGATAACACTTTATTTTATTTATTTACTTACTTAAACATATTTTTATTGATTTCAGAAGAGAGAGAGAGAGGGAGAGAGAGAAACATAAATGATGAGAGAGAATCATTGATTGGCTTTCTCCTGCACGGCCACCTATGGGGACTGAGCCCGCAACCCGATGATGTGCCCTTGTCCAGAATTGAATCTGGGACCCTTCAGTCCACAAGCCGATGCTCTATCCACTGAGCCAAACCAGCTAGGGCTGACCCTTTTGTTTTAATACATTTTTATTGATTTTCTTGAGGAAGGGAGACAGAAAGAGATACAGAGAGAGGGAAACATTAATACTGAGAGAGTATCACTGATCAGCTGCCTCCTGCATGCTCCCTTACTGGGACTGAACCCACAACAAACTCGGCCTGTGCCCTTGACTGGAATGGAACCTAGGACTTTTCAGTCCCAAGGCTGAAACTCTATCCACTGAGCAAACCAGCTAGGGCTGACCCTTGCTGTATTTATTTATTTACTTAAAAAAGTTAGTCAGTCAGTTAGTTAGTTATTATTAACTCTTGTTTTTGACCTTAGGTATCTTCAAATGTGCTTCCTCACCCAGTTTCCTGTCATCCTTTCTATGCAGTTGTCCTTATTTGGTATTCTGTATTAACGTTTGTTTTCATGGTACTATAATTCCCATTTCCTGTGGGATGTTTTTCTCATGAGTAGCTGTCTACTCTTGAATGGGGAAAGTTTCTCTATCTCTGATTCTGCCGTCTTGCTGATGTCACTCTCATAGGTCTTTTGCCTGTGATCTCATTTGTACTTTGTTGTTCTACCACAGTGCTGACCATCCATCTTTTTAGTTTTTCTTCTAAGATTTGCATCATTGATCTCATGCAGTGGCTCAACTGGGATTTAAGAGGCAGAATCCTTTGTGTATCACAGGAGAAACATGCCTTTATCAATGAGAGGGTAGACCGAGAGGCAGTCTTGCCTTGGTGAAGGGCAGTGGGGGCAGTTTTCATGCCAGGGCTTTGTTACATTCATAACTAGAAAGCCATTTTGTTCAAAATGTTTAGTTACCATTGCCCACTCCTCACCCAATTCTAATTCTTGCTTAATGTTGACACTTTGCATTCAACTCAGTTTTTTGTTTTGTGTTTTTTTTTAAAATATATTTTTATTGATTTCAGAGAGGAAGGGAGAGGGAGAGAGATAGAAACATCAATGATGAGAGAGAATCATTGATCGGCTACCTCCTGAACACCCCCTGCAGGGGATCAAGCATGCAACTCAGGCATGTGCCCTTGACCGTAATCGAACCTAGGACCATTGCGTTCACAGGCCTACGCTCTATTCACTGAACCAAACTGGTCAGGGCACGAGTCAGTTTTATTTTTATTTATTTATTTATTTATTTAAATAATTAAATCTTTATTGTTCAGATTATTACATTTGTTCCTCTTTTTCCCCCCCATAACTCCCCCTCCCTCACAGTTTCCCACCCCACCCTCCGCCCTCACTCCCCACCCACTGTCCTCATCCATAGGTGCATGATTTTTGTCCAGTCTCTTCCTGCATCTCCCACACCTCTTTCCCCCCCAAGCATAGTCAGTCCATTCCCTTTTTATGTCCCTGATTCTATTATAATCACCAGTTCATTCTGTTTATCAAATTATTTATTCACTTGATTCTTAGATTCACTTATTGAAAGATGCATGTTTGTTGTTCATAATTTGTATCTTTACCTTTTTCTTCTTTTTCCTCTTTTTTTTAAAATATATTTTATTGATTTTTTACAGAGAGGAAGGGAGAGAGATAGAGAGTCAGAAACATCGATGAGAGAGAAACATCGATCAGCTGCCTCCTGCACACCTCCTACTGGGGGTGTGCCTGCAACCCAGGTACATGCCCTTGACCGGAATCGAACCTGGGACCCTTCAGTCCACAGGCCGACACTCTATCCACTGAGCCAAACCGATTTCGGCATTCTTCCTCTTCTTAAAGGATACCTTTCAGCATTTCATATAATACTGGTTTGGTGGTGGTGAACTTCTTTATCTTTTCCTTATCTGTGAAGCTCTTTATCTGACCTTCAATTCTGAATGATAGCTTTGCTGGATAAAGTACTCTTGGTTGTAGGTTCTTGGTATTCATCACTTTGCATATTTCTTGCCACTCCCTTCTGGCCTGCAAAGTTTTTGTTAAGAAATCAGCTGACAGTCCTATGGGTATTCCCTTGTAGGTAACTGAGTTTCTTTCTCTTCCCGCTTTAAGATTCTCTCTTTGTCTTTTGCTCTTGGCATTTTAATTATGATGTGTCTTGGTGTGGTCCTGTTTGGATTCCTTTTGTTTGGGGTTCTCTGCGCTTCCTGGACTTGTAAGTCTATTTCTTTCACCAAGTAGGGGAAGTTTTCTGCCATTATTTCTTCAAATAGGTTTTCAATATCTTGCTGTCTCTCATCTTCTGGCACCCCTATAATTCTGATGTTGGTACGCTTGTAGCTGTCCCAGAGGCTCCTTACACTATATTCACACTTTCGGATTCTTTTTTTCATTTTGCTTTTCCAGTTGGATGTTTTTTGCTTCCTCGCATTTCAAATCTTTGGGTTGATTCTTGCACTCCTCTGATCTGCTGTTGGGAGTCTGTGTAATATTCTTTATTTCAGTCAGTGTATGCTTACTTTCTAGTTGGTCCTTTATCACACCGTCGAGGGTCTCATTAGATTTCCTGTACATCTCATCAAGTTTATCGACAGACTCTAGAAGCCTGTTGAGAGACCTCAAAAGTGTGGTTTTGAAATCTATGTCCAGTAGCCTGCTTTCCTCCGGTTCTGTCCTTTGTGGCCTGTTTCTTTGTCTTGGCATTTTTTTATGCTTCGCTGTGTCGATAGAGTGGCTTTCCGTGTTAAGTGTCCCAATTACCTGAGGTAGACACTCTTGGTGCACCCCCTTGTGGTCTCTGTGAGCAGTCTTGTTGTAGTCAAGCCTTGATTGTTGTAGGTAATTAGTACTTGACCTCCAGGCCAACTGGCTGTGAGAATCAGCTGTGTCTGCAGTGGGAGAACTTCTGTCCTCTAGGGAGGTGCTAATCTAGCCTTTGCCTGAGGCTATCCAGCAAATGGCTCTGTGCAGGGCTTGGGCGGGGCCAGTCCCACGGGATCAACAGGGCAGAGGAGGGAGCAGTTATGGCTGCTCTCAGTCCGTCCCCAGGGGCTCTGCCTCTCTGTGCCAGCAACCGCTGCAAACCTCGGAGGGACCGAAGCCAGACAGTCCCGCTTCTCCCGTTTGAGTCTGGGTCCCTAGAGACTCACCCGCATCTGGAGTTCAGAGTCTGAGGCTCCCTCTGGATTGAAACAGACAATCGTGCCCTCAGCCACCAGCCCGCGCCGCATGCACTCCGCATCTTAGTATTTTACTTCAGCACTGCGCCTCTTCTGATTCTCGGTTCCTCCTAGTTGTAGAAATTCCACTCAGCCAGCCTTCCTGTGGTTCTGGATGATGTCCGTTCCATCTTTTAGTTGTATTTTTGAAGTGGTTGTTCGAGGCAGCAAACTCCAGCATTAACCTATGCCGCCATCCACGAGTCAGTTTTAGTAGTGATCATTATACTCAGATTCCCAGCCCATGGATAACCTTAACCTCTCTAAACTTTGCACCTTTACCTCTTTAGCCCATCTTGCTTTACTGCACTCCAGTGTTGTTCCATGCCTGCAGGCCTTCGAGTGCACGTGTATTATTTTATTCATGCTGAACATCACATGCTCTAATGTGATTGATAGTTTATGGGTTTGCACACATGAAATTATTCTACACACAGTCACATCGCCAGCATGAAAGTTCCTAAGGAAGCCATTTGTGAAGTAATAATGAGCAGACCCTGCCCTCCTCTTTTTGTCCCAGCCTATGCTTCTGTCCTCCCTGGGTGAGATTTTCCTTTTGGGCATTTTATATATAACAGCCATTTCCTGAGAGTCTGACTCACTTGTCTTGAAAATCAATGTCTGGAATCATGTCCAGTTGTGTCATAAACATCTGTGTTGAAGATACTCTGCTTTTATCAGGTCAACATGCACTTCACCTACATTTCCTTTTGTTCAGGTTGCTGCTGTGGAGAAAAGAATGTGGAGGCCACGACTGAACAAAAGATTTCTATTAGATTTTCACAGGCAAGGAATCCCAAGTTACCGTTGTCTTCCCAGAAGAGCCACCCCTGTGAGAATTGTGGGCTAGTCCTGGGAAACATTTTCCGCGTGATGGAACTGCAGGAAACACAACACAGACAGATTCTGTTGAGGTGTGGGGCATGTGCAAAACGGTTTTATTTGTGTGCAAAATTTCACCAGCAGCATGTGAGAGAGCAGACTTACATAAGAGGCTTGGAAAGGATGTCACTTGCAAACAGCTGCAATTTCAGTGTGTCCCAGAATCATTTCACATGCGGGGAGGTTGGGCAGAGTGTCCTTACGGGGTCAGGACATCTCCACCTAAAGGATACTCAGACCAGGAACAGTCCAAGTGCTATTTTGAAGCGTGGGATGATGTTTCAAAGTAAAAAAAATTATTTCAGCAGAAAAGAATGTAAGAAAGACATCAGTTGCACCCACACGTTTATTCTGGAAAAAGGTGTTTATCTTGGAAGTGCATGTGGTGTGTGCTCTGAATGTGGAAAATATTGTACCAAATTTTCTAGGTTTCATTATCAACAGAGAGATCACACTGGAGAAAGGGCATATCACTGCAGTGAATGTGGGAAATATTTTACCAGGATCCGTGATCTTCATTGTCATCAGAGATTTCATACAGGACAAAAGCCTTATACATGCAGTGAGTGTGGGAAATCTTTTACCTGGAGCACTGCTCTTCGTTATCATCAGATGGTTCACACTGAAGAAAAGCCTTATAAATGCAGTGAATGTGGAAAATCTTTTAAAAGTAGAAGTGGTTTCCGATATCATCAGAGAGTTCATACTGGAGAAAAGCCTTTTCAATGCAGTGAATGTGGAAAATCTTTTACTACTAAGAAAGACCTTTATCAACATCAGAGAGTTCATACGGGAGAAAAGCCTTATCAATGCAGTGAATGTGGGAAATCTTTTACCCAGAGCAATGCCCTTCGTTATCATCAGAGAGTTCATACTGGAGAAAAGCCTTATAAATGCAGTGAGTGTGGGAAATCTTTTACCCGGAGCATTGCCCTTCGTTATCATCGGAGAGTTCATACAGGAGAAAAGCCTTATAAATGCAGTGATTGTGGAAAATCTTTTAAAGGTAGAAAAGGTCTCCAATATCATCAGAGAGTTCACACTGGAGAAAAGCCTTATCAGTGCAGTGAATGTGGGAAATCTTTTCCCGTTAGCAATGACCTTCATCGTCATCAGAGACTTCATACAGGAGAAAAGCCTTATCAATGCAGTGAATGTGGGAAGTCTTTTACCACTAATACCATCCTTCATCGACATCAGAGAGTTCATACAGGAGAAAAGCCTTATAAATGCACTGAATGTGGGAAATCTTTTAAAAGGAGCAGTAGTCTCCAGTATCATCAGAGAGTTCACACTGGAGAAAGCCAATATGAGTGCAATTAATGTGAGGTATATCCCAGCCAAATTTCTAAATTCGCTCCGTGCATAAGAGTACAAATGAGAGAAATTTCTTAGATGTGTAGGAAATTTAATTTCTTAGTTTGGACATAACAATAGTACAGGAAAATTTCTGAATCCTCATTTTTCGGAATTGTATCTCATTTATTTAATCACCTATATTCTGTAAAGCTCCCATAAGTGTTTTTGCTTTTCTGTTTGTGTGGTTTTCGTTGGCACACTGTGTAATTATGTTGCACGTTCTAACATACAGAGATGTCCTGCCAGATCTATGTCACTGCATATTTCTGTTGCTGAAGACATTTCACCTGAACCACCTATAAGGCCCCTACAAATGGCATCAGTCACCATCCTCATGTGCCCAGGGAAGCTAACTCTGTTGTCGAATTTGTTGAAGAAAATGAGGAATACCTGAGCCCTTGTTTCTTACTTGTTTCCCTGTCATGAGTCGCCACATAGGACTGATTACTGTTGGCCCCAGTAAACATAATGTTGCAGAGGGACTGCCATTTTCAGGGACATGCTTTGCCTGAACGCTGGTGGTGAGTTTATTGAGTACTTAGTCGTCAATGGAAGAACTGCCAGTCTCCTCTCTCTTTGGTAGGTAAAATAATGAAGGCTTTTTCCTAAGACTTCTTTAATCTGGGGTGTTCTATTTACTGTGTAGGTTAGCTTATAGAAAGATTTGGGCTCTTCAATGGTGATGAGGTGAAAACTTGTTTGGGTTCTTAAACATTTTTGCCTTTGGGGGAACAGTATGGTGCAGGATTAGCTCAGCAGTTTTTGGCAAATTTACACTGTGCCCATATTTTCCTTGGAAGCACTGTGGACTCTCTAATCGTCCTGTGATGTTTGGATGCTTTGAGACACAGAGATCACTGCAAAGAGGGGGTAGCTGTGACAACCTCAAGTATGTCTGGGAGCATGAACTTATTTTCTCATTTGCAAGGGATGCCAATACATGTGAAGGGAATCTCTTGCCCAGGTCTTACAGAGGGCCATGTGTCCTAATGCCTACTGACCTGATTGTTGTTGGGTGAGACTGCAGCCCATTAGATGGAATGGTCCTCCTCTAACTGTGCATCCAGGAATTAGTTTGAGGAAAAGACAACAGGAGCTGTGTGTACACAGATCTGAGGGACTGCAGGTATTTTATTTTTTGTGAAGGAGTCATTATCATTGATTAGAATCAAGATGGTTTGTGGCTCCTGTAGCTTCTCAGATGTTCCCATCAGAGCCATTGGTGTGCTGGCAGGAAAACCAAGATGGAGACTAAGGCCGTCCTTGGTCCAGGGATGTGGCTTTTGTGGATTTTGGTGAAAGTTCTTCATTGTTTGTTAATTTTCTGTCACTGAGATGAGACTCTCACTCAGATGGCAGAAGTATGTGGATTGAATATAGAGTTTCCAAACCTGTTCTTCCAGAATAGGTGAATGTACATTTGTTTTATTGTGAACTATTGTTAACAGCTGTAATGAGTATGCACATGTGTTAAGTATATTAGTTTCCTAAATCTATATATATATATATATATATATATATATATATATATATATATAT